GTAGTGAGAAAGGGAGAGAGATAAAGGAAAACGAGGGGGAGAAAGACAGAAAGGGAGAAAGGAGAAAAAAGGGAGAGAAGAGGTAGATTGAGAAAAGAGTGAAAGAGAAAGAGGAGAGTGAGAAACAAAGACAGGAAGAAAGAAAAAGAAAAGAGAAAAGAGACGATGAAGTGAGAAAGGGAGAGAGAAAGAGAGAAAACAGTGAGAAATGGAGAGAGAAATGAAGAGAGAAAGAAGAAAGAGAAACAGAGAGAGAAACAGTGAGATGGAGAGAGAGAAAGAAACATAGAGAAATCAAGAGAGATAAAGTGAGAAGGAAAGAGAAAGAGAGGAAACAGTGAGAAAGGACAGAGAAATGAAGAGAGACAGGAGAGAGAGAAACAGAGAGAGAAAGAGTGAGATGGAGAGAGAGAAAGAGAGAAACCCAGAGAGAGATCACGAGAGATAAAGTGAGAAAGGGAAAGAGAAATGAAGAGAGACAGAAGAGAGAGAAACAGACAGAAAGAGAAAGAGCAAAAGGGAGAGAGAGAAAGAGAAACAGAGAGAGATGAAACGAGATGAAGTGAGAAATGGAGAGAGAAAGAGAGGAAACAGAGGGAGAAATATATAGAGAGAGAGAATCAGTAGAGCCGATGTTCAGTGCTGCGGTTTGGCTGCCAGTTTAAAGCACATTTGGGAGCTCAGTCTCATATTTGTTTTGTGTCAAAACGTCTGCGGCAAACAAGCCACTCATTAAAAACCCAAACTGGATTAGCAGCTGGAGGAGGATGTAATATGCACGAGCAGCGCGTCTCTTCAGCTCCTGTTCAGGAGCCGTTGAGGGACCGAAACTCAATATACGGCTGCCCTCAATGAGATTAGCACTAAGCATTTCCCTAAAGCCTCAGCTGCTCTGTTACCTGCGCGTAAATATTTTATGTATTTGTTTAAGCCACTTCCCCGACTATTTTCACATGAAAACAAAACTTCTGCTCAAGCATTTAGTGAGAAAAGGAATCTACCTTTTCCACAGTTCCACATTTAGCTCCTAATTAAACCCTTTTATGGGTTTAATTTCCTTTTGTCGTGTCGGTTCAGCACCTGGAAGGCTTTACTGTTGCTCATGTCTCTCAGTTTGGAGCTTTAGACGAAGCTGAAGGTGGCTTCTTATTACTTCCACTACAGTCATTATTTCATTGCAGTGATAATACTTTTACAGGAGGATGTTATTAATACAGTGGCCAACAAGCCCCGACGCACTGCAATATAAAAAGCTGCAAGCACAGAAAATGCTTTACTCAAAATGACAACAAAAGTGTTTACAAACGCTCTGCAAAATAATAAAACACGCTGTAAATTCGTAGATGCTCGGCAAACACGGAAAATACTTTCATAAAAATGACAACAAGCACGCTACAAATACAGAAACACATACAGCTTCAGAAACACTGAGAAGTCGTTTACAACACAAGGGAAATGTTTCCAGTGACTTCTGTGCAGCTTAGACATTCGCTGGTAAAAGTAGTTCACCTTTTCTAGATCGCTGCACCGATACCAGCACACATCCACTGAAGCATTTACTTCTGTTTTTTTACACCATTTTTATGCATCAAATCGTCCAGCAATACGTTGATAAAGTACATTATTAGAAAGCTTGAAATCTCAGGATTCGATTCCCACAAACCATTTCGTGACCTGTTATTCACAGCAGTTACGATCGTCTTGCAACATCAGCACCGAATGAGCAAACGCTGGCAGATCTGTGTGTCCTCACCTTCAGAGCCTCTCCGCCTCCACAGAGACACCATAATCCACAACATGAGGTCTGATAACACGGCAAGAGTCAGAGATCAGTTTAGAGATCTATGAGTCAGGAGGAAATAAACTCCTCCATTCTAGACTCTGTGTCCCTTATTCATACATACATCCATCCATCCATCATCTAAACCGCTTATCCTTCTGGGTCACGGTGGGGTGCTGGAGCCTATCCCAGCTGTCATCGGGCGGAAGACAGGATACACCCCAGACAGGTCGCCAGTCCATCGCAGGGCAGACAGACTAACACTCACAATCACACACACATTCACACCTAGGGGCAATTTTAGCATGTCCAATTAGCTTAACCGCATGTCTTTGGACTGTGGGAGGAAACCGGAGTACCCGGAGGAAGCCCACACAGACACGGGGAGAACAGGCAAACTCCACACAGAAATGACCCTGATCACCCAGCCGGGAATCGAACCCAGGCCATTCATACAGCTATTCTAAAAAACTTGAGAGTGTTACCTTTTAAATGAAACCAAGATCATGACTATAGTCCAAAGTACAGGTTGTCCCAAAAGAATTTACATCATTTCGTAGTCTAATAACAGCCAATTCTCCCTTAAATGATCTCAAATTTTAACAAAATGTGTAAAAACTAACCAAGTTTAATTTTGAATGTTTTTTCAGGTTGAAGAATGGCGTTCAGTAGAAATGAAAAGGCGTTTTGTGTGTTAGAATATGCTCAAACACAGTCAAACAAGAGTGTGCAGTGTGCATTTTTGAGAAAATTCAATAAAAATGCACCAACTGGAGCTGCGCTGGAGACTGTTATGCAAGACATGCTACGGCATGTTTGGCAGGAGCTGGACTACCGACTTGACGTGTGTCGTGTCACAGGAGGTGCGCATATTGAACATTTGTGAAGCTGTGTAATCGGTTATAAAATCTACGTCCCTCTGAATTTCTTGTTCGAATTTTGATAAATAAATCTTGTATTGTTCAACGTGAAGCCTATTTATTTTCGTTTGCCAGGACATGTAGTTACTCAGATATTCACATCTCAAATGATGTCAATTTTTTGGGACACCCTGTATGTGGGAACAGCGCCCACTGGGGCGTCAGTTAACAGGTTAGCTTTTATTTGAGCAGATAACTTGTGTCATTGTATCGTGATGAAAACTTATTTCTTGTAAAGTGTCTGAAAGGAAGTAAAGGAAGAATAAGGAGGATTTTTTAGTCTTCTGGTGTGTAGGCAACTTTATGCCGCGTGGAACAGGCAGACGTAGGCCATACTGAGGAGAGGTCACCAATATGTCTTGCAATCCTTCAACAGGAACACTCTGAACATCACAGCTCCTGAAAAGTACAGAACACCCTACGAGGTCTAATAAACAGGCATCCTGCCACAGCAATATGGTAAAGAGATCTGATGTTCTGTCTTTGGCTCCAGAAAAAGGTAGAATAGACTTAACTTACATATGACTAAAACATGATTAGAGGAGCTTCAACCAGGGTTAATATAGTTAAACTTAAACTCTTACTAAAATGAAAACTAACAGTGTAAAATTTGCTCGTTAACTGGAATAGAAATAAAAATGAAGCACAAAACGTGAAAATTGAATCAAAACTATAATGTTCACTGTAAAACTGAATAACGGCACGGTGGCGCAGTGGGTAGCGCTGTCGCCTCACAGCAAGAAAGGCCTGGGTTTCCTCCCACAGTCCAAAAAACATGCAGTCAGGCCCACTGGATGTGCTAAATTGCCCCTAGGTGTGACTGTGTATGTCTGTCTGTTCTGGACTGGTGACCTGTCCAGGGTGTATCCTGCCTTCCGCCCGATGACAGCTGGGATAGGCTCCAGCACCCCGGTTTAGATGATGGATGGAATTACAGAGAAAAACATTTTTGTTTTTTTTTTAGTGCACAAATGAGAGTTTAGAAGTGGATCTCTTGTAGGTTTAGCTCATTTTAAGGAAAGCTGGAGTTGAGCTGAGCTCAGTGTACCGTTTAATTTTGTTCTACTCCTCAAACATCTGTAATCACAGCATTCATCATAACACTAAAAATCCTCCATATTCTTCCATCGCTTTCTTTCAGAGACTTCACAAGAAATAAGTTTTCATCACGATACAATGAGATAAGTTATCTGCTCAAATAAAAGCTAACCTGTTAACTGACGCCCCATTTTTGCCTGAAACGGAATATCCAAAGTAAAGGGGGCGCTGTTCCCACATACTTTGGGCTACAGTCATGATCCTGGTCTCATTTAAAAGGTAACACTCTCAAGTTTTTTAGAATAGCTGTATGAATAAGGGACACAGAGCAACAGAGTCTAGAATGGAGGAGTTTATTTCCTCCTGACTCATAGATCTCTAAACTGATCTCTGACTCTTGCCGTGTTATCAGACCTCATGTTGTGGATTATGGTGTCTCTGTGGAGGCGGAGAGGCTTTGAAGGTGAGGACACACAGATCTGCCAGCGTTTGCTCATTCGGTGCTGATGTTGCAAGACGATCGTAACTGCTGTGAATAACAGGTCACGAAATGGTTTGTGGGAATCGAATCCTGAGATTTCAAGCTTTCTAATAATGTACTTTATCAACGTATTGCTGGACGATTTGATGCATAAAAATGGTGTAAAAAAACAGAAGTAAATGCTTCAGTGGATGTGTGCTGGTATCGGTGCAGTGATCTAGAAAAGGTGAACTACTTTTACCAGCGAATGTCTAAGCTGCACAGAAGTCTCTGGAAACATTTCCCTTGTGTTTCTGAAGCTGTATGTGTTTCTGTATTTGTAATTTAATTTTGTTCTACTCCTGAAACATCTGTAATCACAGCATTCATCATAACACTAAAAAACAATAAATAAAAACTATTAGAAACTGTTAACGCACCCTTTCTGACTAACTGAAACTAGACTGAAATAAAATAAATAAATAGATAAAAGCTAAATGAAATTAAAAACTAATGAAAGCTTTAAAAACCCTGGCCTGGATTTACTACTGAAGTTATTGTGATTATTAGGATTAAATATGTGAATCTACATAAAAGTGAAACAGTGTTTGAGTGGGGAGGTCTCCAATCACTTCCTTCACTGTATATGGACTGAGTGCATTGAGGAGTGACCGGTCAAGCCAACAGCCTAAGCCAAAGTTTATCCAGTTACAATACGGACACAAACTACATATGAATGCAAGGTGTAAACCTCTCTAAGTTTCCAGTTTTCAGGGTTTTTTTCTGTCCGTCTGCTCTGTAGGTCTCCTCATCTCCGTCTATCCCTTCATAAGAGCATGGTTCAACTTCCATCACATCCTGCCCAACATAGGTGAGACCATTTTCATTGTTTTGCTATGAAGAGCAGAATTTGTCTATCGTTTACAGCACACGTTGAAGCTTTTTTGGTCCAAATGTGGTTTAAACAGCCGAAAGATTGCAGTACTGATGAGTGCTGACATTGCAGCAAGGTGATAAAGTGGGCGTGGCCTTTGGCTTTATTCCAAAAGTAGCACTAATTTTGGCAAAAGGGAGATTTTTTCCCCTTAATAAACTTGATTATGCTTTAATATGGTGCATTACTGCAAATCAACGAAGGAAATCCCTGTTGTGTCAACCAATCATGACTGCTAGCCCAGCCACTGATCAACAAGCTAACAAATAGCAAGCTAGCTTTGGTGCAGCTTTTGCCTCAGTTGTCAAACAGAATCATGAAGGAAACGGTGATTCTACCGTTATTCAGAATGAAATGGACAATAAAGAGAGTTTTTACTCTTCAGCCAGACAAATGGAGGCAAACCTAGGAAAGGTCTATGTAGCTGTGGTAGCGACCTTGCTAACTTTAGCCATTCTCTCCACTGTAAAGCCAATTTGAAGACTGTTAATGCAGTCTTAGGTCAGTAATAAGACGGTTGATAAGATCTCACTCTATAGACACCACATCACTTCTACAGGAGGAGAGTGGGCACATTTACAACAGATACACTGTTAGGAATAAAGGTTCTGTTCAGGTAGATTTTTAGTTCATCGAGGTACAAACAATGTAAATGTTCCCTCAAAGGTACAACAGTGGTTTTAAGGTCTGATTGTGAACCTTAAATAAGTTTTTCCAGGTGAAAAGTTCGTATTTGTACCTTTTCATAACCGAATGTTTTAAAACAGAACGGTAAAATAAAAGCCTGGAGACGAGACGGGGTGTGTGGAGTCAGTACAGCTTAGAACATATCATTTCAGTGGATTATGGTTCAGTTATGTTCCCTGACTGAAGGTACTGAGATGTATCCCTGAGGGAACCACCCCAGTGACAAGGGGGGCACTGCCCCAGTGACAGTTCATTACCTTTATTTCTAAGAGTGTATAGCAATGGTTACATTTTCCATTTTGGCTCAGAGTGTCCCTTTAAGAACCAATTCATGGGAAAAGGCCATTATGCTCAGAGATGTTGAAGGTAAAAGAGGAAGAGGACGACCAGCTACCAGATGGATAGATATAACCAGAGGAATCATGAACCAGCCGAGAAACCTGAAGGCCCAAACAGAAGATAGGATATTCAAGAGGAAAACGTCTTGACAGTGCTTAATACTATCAATAATAACAATAATAATAATAATAATAATAATAATAATGGAAAATATAAATAGTTATACAACAGTTAGTTCTGGCCACGCAAGCTGATTGGTTGAGAAGCGTTCTAACCGTGCTGTTATTTCGCCATATTTCGCTCAGCTCCGCTGAGATGCCGTTGCTAAGCAACGACTTTGACAGCTGTAGGAGCCATTTGAACATTTTTACTTCTTACTTTGCCACAAACAGAAAATGGACACTTTTAAGATCACGTTTGACTGAGCAGCTTTTCAGTCGGCAGCTGTGACAGAAGATCAGCTAAACAACCTGGAATCAGCCAGAAATGAACCCAACACCATTCGCCAAACTAAATGGGCTGTAAGATGCTTTACAGACTGGCTGGAACAAAACAACATTAATACTGATCTGGCAAAAATGGACAAAACTGAGCTAAACCTGATATTGTGGCAGTTTTATGGCTCAGTCTGATTTGGTCAGATTCTGAAGATCAGACTACACGTTTGGCGAATGGTATTGGGTTCATTTCTGGCTGATTCCAGGTTGTTTAGCTGCGAACTGGGAACATTAAAACATTAAACGCCGCGTTCACGGCCCAGTTTATTTATTTCTTACTTTATTTATTTAACTGTTGTATAAAAGCAATAGAACACTCAAGGTTGTGTGTTATCGTGAATAACATCACAGCTGTGATGATCTAGAGGTGATGATCAAGAGTGGGTTCTATTGTGTCCTATTGCTTAATTAGAACATATCCTTGAACGTATGAGACGTTTGCACGAGCATCTTCTGTTTTGGTTTGTGATGTTGTATAATGTAATCGATGGTAATGGTGTTTCATTTCTCTCAGGAAACTTCCGGGTGCACCCGCTGGCGGCCCCCGAGCAGCCCCCCGACACGCTCAAAAGAGAAGGTGAGGGACTTTCTTTCATGACGTCCATTCACACTTATTCACAGCATCACTCTCTCGCTCCATCCTCTCAGCTGCTGGTGTATGATATGATTTTTGTTCATTAAAACACACAAAAGTTACTTAACTGAGGAGAATTCCTCTTACTCTGAAGCACTTCCTGGTCTGATATGTGCCGTCAGGATTTTTATTCTTCCTGACATGTTAAAAAAATGACACTCTTACATTTCAGGCACCAGCCATAGCCTTTTGCTCAAAATTCGTTAGCACTCACACATATCACCCTGGAAACTCACTGCTTTTGACACCACCTTTGTGAGCAGATGCATTTTGAAGCTTATTAAAATCTGAATCTGGACTTTCTTTCTAGGCTGCAAGTAATATTTGATCAAATTAAATAAAATACTCAAAAAGCAAGTCTCCCTTCTGTTTTTGCTTTGTCTTAGGGACACTAAAAGCCCTTGACTAGAGGACCTCAGTGTCCTAGCATTTGAATATGGCGCTAATAGCTCAGAGCTATATTCAGGCCCTTCACCATCCACTGCCTCATATGTTAAAACCAAAATTTTAAAGTGTACCCTAAATGTAGCAGCCAACCAATACAGAGATGCCAATATGGATGTAATATGCTCCCTTCTTTTAGTCCTAGTGAGCACCTGAGCTGCTGCATTTTGCAAGTTGCAGTCGTGTCACAGCTCCTTGACTAAGACATAAGACATAGAATACCTTGATATTATATGGGTCGGAATAATGTTGCCATCTGAAATGAGTCTGTTGCGGATCTGTTCCAGATATGGCCCACATCTTGTGGTCAGCCTCTGGCCTAGGTTAGGTGTGTGGCTCACTTTTGGCTGACTTGTGGCCCTGATCTGGTACGTATGTGGCCCACATCTAGCAGTCTGGAGCGGTCCGCTCAAGTTGCGTCACTCCATGTGGCAAATTGAGGGGAAGGATGTGGGCCAGACCTGGTCCAGAATAATTTTGCCATCTGAAATGAGTCTGGTGTGGATCTGTTCCAAATACATCCTACATCTTTTGGTCAGCTTCTGGTCCAGATTAGGCCCAGTTGTGTGGTTCACTTTCGGCTGGCTTGTGGCCCTGATCTGGTACGTATGTGGCCCACATCTAGCAGTTGGGAGCGGTCTGCCCAAGTGCCATCAATCCATGTGGCAAGTGGGCCAGATGAAAATGGGGGGTGAGATGTGGGCCAGATCTGGGCCAGAATAACTTTGCCATCTGAAATGAGTCTGGTGTGGATCTGTTCCAGATATGGCCTACATCTTTTGGTCAGCTTCTGGTCCAGATTTGGCCCAGTTGTGTGGTTCACTCTTGGCTGACTTGTGGCCCTAATCTGGTACTTATGTGGCCCACATCTAGCAGGCAGGAGCGGTCTGCTCAAGTTCTGTCACTCCATGTGGCAAGTGGGCCGGATGAAAATTAGGGGTGGGATGTGGGCCAGAACTGGGCCACAATAACTTTGCCATCTGAAATGAGTCTGGTGCAGATCTGTTCCAGATATGGCCTTACCTAATGGTCAGCTTCTGGCCCAGATTAGGCCCAGTTGTGTGGTTCACTTTTGGCTGACTTGTGGCCCTGTTCTGGTATGTATGTGGCCCGAATCTAGCAGTCGAAAGCGGTCCGCTCAAGTTCCGTCACTCCTGAATAATTTTCTCTGTATCCTGAAAGGAAAGCGTTTGTCTGATTTTAGCTAGATTTCTCAGTTGAAAGTAACAAGACTGTACCAGCTTTGTTACATGCTTTGAGAAATGTAGTTCTGAATTAAAAATGATGCCCACATTTCTAGGATATTATATTTATCCTTGCAGCCAGTGAACCAAGCTCCTTCTTTAAGTTGCTGAGGACATTTTGAGGGCCCAGAACCAGAACTTCTGTTTTTCCCTTGTTTAACTTAGGAAAATTACAGACCATCCAATCCTTAATAACTTGAATACATTCAGTAAAATGCTCAGATTTTGTGTCCATAAATGTTTAATAAACTGTTGAAAATATTTGTTGTTTTACTTAGCACAGTCATGTGTGGTGCAACTTTTTAATTATCGAGTAAATTCGTCCCAAAACCAGGAGGTTATGAGTTCGAAGCCCAGCAAAGTCACAGCTGTCCATATGCGGAAACTCAAGAGGAGAACAGGCCTAGTAGGACTGGAAGATGTTAAGACTCCCAGCTAGAGCAGGAAACTCACAAAAACATGGGAGAACTTTTGATTAAACTAAGAAGTTTAAGTTGGGTAAACTCTGGTGTCCTCAAGCTGAGTGAACTTCAGTTACCTTATCATTTTAAGTTGAGCTGACTTCTCATTTTTTACAGTGCAGCGAGTTGAGTCAAACATTTTTCTCCTGTTAGTCAGACTCTGTTCATAACTGTTTGTATTATTCATACAAGGTGATTAATGTGGGTTTTAATTGCTGTTTCAGTCCAAATGCTTTTCCTGCCACTCTGGATTGCGAGCTGGCTGCTGTCCATCGGACCCTTATGCCCTCTTAGGACGTCCTATTCTAAAACCATGGAGTTAATATGGAGTTGCCACCACTTTGCAGCTATACCTCTACTCTTCTGGAATGCTGATCCACAAGATTTTGGAGTGTGTCCATGGGAATTCGTGCCCATCGGTCAAAAAAGCATTTGTGAGGTCAGACACTGATGTTGGACGAGAGGGCCTGGCTCAGAATCTCCGTTCTAATTCATCCCAAAGGTGTTCAGTGGGGTTGAGGTCAGGGCTCTGTGCAGGCCACTGGAGTTCCTCCACTCCAAACTCACCCAGCCATGTCTTTATGGAGCTGCTTTGTGCACTGGGGCTCAGTCATGCTACTCATTCATCCAAACCCTGAAATGGGCCTCAGCCCATTATCCCTCCTCCACCAAACGTTACTGTTGGCGCTGTGCATTGCGGTAGGTGTCCCCAGACTTTTGATGGGCAGCATACATAAATCAACATTTGCAAATTAGTCACTTCAGGATCTCTCTTTCATGTGAAGCTCTTTTTATTTCGTCCAACCACTTTAATTCCCAGAGTGCTCCTGAAGTGGAGGTGTAAAGGCTTGATGCCTCTCGAGTGTCTGCGTGCCCGGTGAAGTGTCAGTGCGACTGGGCAGTGTGACTGGTCAAGTGAGTATGTGGGCCAGGGGAGCTAATGAGAGAGCATTTCCATTTAATTAGCCAGATCACTCCACCGCTGTGGAAACCGCCACGAAAAGCTGTAATCCAGGCCGTCTCTCACTCGTGCCGCGGTGTCTCTTCTCATGTCTGTGTGCTAGCCTACATGCGGTTAGTATCATTGCCTTCCATTTCAGTACATACAGCCTAATAACGACCCTGAGTCTCTGAGAGTGAACATCTCTGTAACTCACTGTAAGGTCCTTCTGATCCCCTCAGACTAACAGCGCTTCTCATTTTAGAGGAATCTAGAGTTTGTTTATTGTTGTTGTTGATTTCTCCTGAAGTCTTCTTAGGAGCAATAAATAAATAAGCAAGAGATTAGAGTCACAACAGCTGTGTTGAAGACATTTAGGTGATGTCAGCAGCATTTGTAGATGATTTTAACTGTATTTGGGACATTTAAGATGATTTTAGAAGCATTTGAGACATTTCCGCTGATTTCAACTGCATTTCAAGACATTTGAGATGATTTGAGATTTCTAATGCGTTTGAGGTGATTTTTGCTGAGTTTCAAGACATTTAAGAAGATTTTAGCAGTATTTGAGATATTTAAGGTGATTTCAGCTGCATTTGAGGTGATTTCAGCAACAGCTGACACATCTGAGCAATGTCTGAGCTCATTATAAGAAATACGTGAAGATTTATTCCCTGGTTTATGTTCCAAAGTCACTTTACAAAAAAGCAAAACATTTTCTTCGGTAACATGAATAAAATCTCATCACTCTGTCTCATCTGATAATAAAATAATAATAAAATAATAATAAAATAATAATAAAATAAATCTCTATTTTTGATCAGTATGAGATTTACCTACCTATAGTTGCAATGCTTGCATAACACAACAGTGTTCAATGCACCACCGTTTCCATTTAAATAAACGCTTTGCCCAGTACAACCAAAAACCCTCCCAGTATAACCAAAACGCTTCCTGTACAACCAAAACTCCTCCCTGTACGACCAAAACTCCTCCCAGTACAACCAAAAACCCTCCCTGAACAACCAAAACTCCTCCCAGTACAACCAAAACCCTCCCTGTACATCCAAAACTCCTCCCAGTACAACCAAAACTCCTCCCAGTACAACCAAATCTCCTCCCAGCACAACTGAAACTCCTCCCAGTACAACTAAAGCTCCTCTCAGTACAACTGAAACACCTCCCAGTACAACCAAAGCTCCTCTCAGTACAACTGAAACACCTCCCAGTACAGCCAAAACTCCTCCCAGTACAACCAAGACTGATCCCAGTACAACCAAAACTCCTCCTAGTACAACTGAAACTCCTCCCAGTACAACAAAAACTCCTCCCAGTACAACCAAGACTGATCCCAGTACAACCAAAACTCCTCCTAGTACAACTGAAACTCCTCCCAGTACAACCAAAACCCCTCCCAGTACAACCAAGACTGATCCCAGTACACCCAAAACTCCTCCAAGTACAACTGAAACTCCTGCCAGTACAGCCAAAGCTCCTCCTAGTATAACTGAAAATCTTCCCAGTACAACAAAAACTCCTCCCAGTACAACCAAGACTGATCCCAGTACAACCAAAACTCCTCCCAGTACAACCAAGACTGATCCCAGTACAACCAAAACTCCTCCCAGTACAACCAAGACTCCTCCCAGTACAACCAAAACTCCTACCAGTAAAACCAAAACCCCTCCCAGTACAACTGAAACCCCTCCCAGTACAACCAAAACTCCTCCCCATACAGTACGTCACTAGGTTCGTGATCCGTGTCTGTGAGGAAGATAATCATGGAGGACGCTCCTTTTTGGGGACGAAATTCAATGCTTAATAGCAACATGGACAGACACGACTGTACAAGACACACTGCAGACGAAGAGGCTGAATGGATAAACAGTTGGTAATTGGTTGCTGCGTAACGAGCGGATCTCCATATTTCGTCCCACGCAGCAATCGGATTTCAGTCCGACTAACCAGAGACACATTTGACTACTAAGTGTAAATGCATGTGGCTAAAATCTTATCAGGATACAATCCAGACACTGGACACATGAAGTGACCAGGTGTAAACGGGGTCTAAGAGACGTAGAAGAACTTAATAAATTGCCGTGTTGGATGTGGCCTTCCTGTGGATGAGCGCTCCGGAGAGAAAGGCTCTGCGCGCCTGGGCGTCCTGCAGATAGAAATGACCTTTATTTGTCCAATGAGACGCAGCGCCGCAGTTATTGAGAGCAGAATGCTCTGATTATTGTGACCATGCGAGGTTCGCATGAACGGCTATAAAAAGCGGTGATTGTGCTGTAACCTTTCAGACTGCATGCACACATTATTTGAAGCGCACAGCTGTCGCGCACGGAATCACGGAAAATAGGCCAGAAAGGAAAAAAGAGGGAATGAACAGCTTTGGTACATGTCTCTCTCTCTCTCTCTCTCTCTCTCTCTCTCTCTCTCTCAGGCACTCAGGGTCAGCTGACTGTGGAGCGCTCTAAAAGCCGAATGGGGACGTTTGTGGAAACGGCTGCTGCTACAGCTGAGGGTTCGCAGGAAGACGGGTAAGATCTCCCAGCCTGAGTCTGGAATTCAACTTGTGTCAGCCTTAAAGGATAAACGCAGGAGTTGGGCTGTGAGTGACAAGAAGACAAAGACACAAAAAATTATCCTGGAAGGATATTAAAACAAACACAGAGATACACACTCATTACATTTCTCCCTCTCTCTCTCTCTCTCGCTCTCTCTCTCTCTCTGTGTCTCAGGGGTTGTGTGTGTGTGTGTGTGTGTGTCTGTGCGTGTGCACATATGGACCAGGTTTATGCCACATTGTGGGGACCAAAACTTGTTCATGCACTAACGTTGTGGGGACCTTTCTTCCAGCTTGTGGTCCCCACAATGTAAAGCGTTACATTTTAAGTTTAGGGTAAGGTTAGGATTAGGATTAGGGTTAAGGTTAGGGTTAGTTTTAGTAGTAGTTCTCGTTGAGGTTTGAGTAAGTGTCCAGGAAATTAATGGATGTCTATGTAATGGCCCCACAATTCACAGAAAAAAGATTGTGTGTGTGTGCACATGTGGACTGGGTTTATGCTACATTGTGGGGACCAAAACTTGTTCATGCGCTAACATTGCAGGGACCTTCCTTCCAGCTTGTGGTCCCCACAATGTAAATCATTACATTTTTCATGCAAGTGTAGGGTAAGGTTAGGATTAGGATTAGGGTTAGGATTAGGGTTAGCAGTTAGTGTTAGGCTAGTAGTAGGTATGGTTAAGGTTTGGGTAAGTCTCCAGGAAATGAATGGAAGTCTATGTAATGGCCCCACAGTTCACAGAAACAAGATTGTGTGTGTGTGTGTGTGTGTGTGTGTGTGCGTGTGTGTGTGTGTGTGTGTGCGTGTGTGTGTGCGCGTGTGTAATGTGATTATGTTCCTCCGTGGCTCAGCGGCGGCAGTGGGAGTGATTGGGATTTCAGGCTGCCGTGATGAGCGCGCGTGCCAGCCTCTTATTAAACTCACTTTTTTATTCTCCGCCGGGAGAAAAACAGCATCACAGGTTATTACATCATTTGGCGTAACGTTTCAGAGCTTCACGCTGAGCAGAGAAAATAAACGGGGGTTTTACTCGCTCTGCGCAGACGACTGTGACCTGTTTGATTTCTTTTTAATACTCTTATTTTAATACGCGGAAGACGACCCGCTGAGACTCGAGTCTCTGATCCAGAAAACTAATTCACACGATTCACACTGAATGAGCGAAACATCTACTGTAAAAAATAAACAAATAAATAATACATCAGTGACATCACTGACAGAAAAGCCTGGACTGATTCAGCTCACTGAAAAGTGCCTTAAAGGGCTCATATAGTGGACTTAAAGGGCTCATATAGTGGACTTAAAGGGCTCATATAGGGGACTTAAAGGGCTCATATAGGGGACTTAAAGGGCCCCATATAGTCAACTTAAAGTGCCCCATATAATGGACTTAAAGGGCTCATATAGGAGACTTAAAGGGCTCATATGTTGGACTTAAAGGGCTCATATTTTGGACTTAAAGGGCTCATATAGTGGACTTAAAGGGCTCATATAGTGGACTTAAAAGGCCCCATATAATGGACTTAAAGGGCTCATATAGGGGACTTAAAGGGCTCATATAGTGGACTTAAAAGGCCCCATATAATGGACTTAAAGGGCTCATATAGTGGACTTAAAGGGCTCATATAGTGGACTTAAAAGGCCCCATATAATGGACTTAAAGGGCTCATATAGGGGACTTAAAGGGCTCATATAGGGGACTTAAAGGGCCCCATATAGTCAACTTAAAGTGCCCCATATAATGGACTTAAAGGGCTCATATAGGGGACTTAAAGGGCTCATATGTTGGACTTAAAGGGCTCATATTTTGGACTTAAAGGGCTCATATAGTGGACTTAAAGGGCTCATATGTTGGACTTAAAGGGCTCATATAGTGGACTTAAAAGGCCCCATATAGTGGACTTAAAGGGCTCATATAGGGGACTTAAAGGGCTCATATGTTGGACTTAAAGGGCTCATATAGGGGACTTAAAGGGCTCATACAGGGGACTTAAAGGGCTCATATGTTGGACTTAAAGGGCTCATATTTTGGACATAAAGGGCTCATATAGT